CTATTCTTTTTTTCTTTTTTTTTTTTGGTTAAATGAAATTAAGATTTCATTGTATTTTGTAATATCATGCATAAAAGATATTTTTATATTTATTAATTATTTATTATTTTTGAAGCAACTAATAATTACTCTATTGAATATTTATACACAATTAATATTATAAACTAAGAAGAAAAATATGTTGATAGACTTTATAAATATGAAAATTATATAAAAATTTAAAATAAATTAATAAAGCTCTTGAATTGAATTATTGGTTATGATAATTGAATTTACGTTTCCCCATTAATGTGCATCCTACTAGGTTTAACTTTTTTTGGACAAAGAATGCAATTGGGTAAAATGACTACTCCAACTTTACACGTACCCAATAATTTATCTTCTACTAATGTCCACTAGTTATTAACACTACATCTATCCACATCATTACATACACAAATGAGGAATTCGTATGTAAAGAAACTACATGCCAACACTTTTTTAAAAAAATTATAAATTATAAATTCTATTTAAAGTTATAATTTTGTATGTTTGTATTAATAGTAATTGATACATAATATTTAATTTAGTAAAATTAAAAATTTATTTTATTAATTTGTTAGTAAGACTATAGTAACTAAATTAATCTAAACAAATTTATATTACGTTTTTGAAAAGAAAAAAAAAAATCATTATAACTAGATTTTTTTAATTCAAAATAATTATATGAATTAAAATTTTGATTTAATATTTTAATTAAAACAAAATATAAAAGTTAGGAGATTCTTAAAAGAATATATATATATATATATATATAAAAGTTGGATCGCGAATTTCCAATCAACACGTTTGTGCGGTCTTGCATGGTAAAAAAGATTAATGTTATGCTTTTTTTTTTTTTATATTTTTGTGGATCAATTAATCATCTATCACGAGCTCGGCTTTTAGGGGGTTGACAAACAAGTTATGAGTTCCATAATTTTTTAAGGAATTAAGAGTATTATTGAGTTAGTTTTTTTATAATTCAATTATTATTATTATTTTATTATTTGAACAATTTAATCTTTATATAATTAACTCATTTATCTACTCCAATTAAATTGCTTCGTGTGGTGGTTTTTGACCGTTCCTCCTACCTAGTCATCCAATATATTTAAGTACTACTTCGTTTTATTCTATTAAAGACTTGATAGGTACATTAAGGTTGGTACCTAATGTTATTCAATTATCTATAATACTTTTGACAGAAAGATGTATAAAAGTGTGTGTTCAAAAAGCTAACGTTTATTGACTTACTAATTGGAAGAATTTTTTTTTTAAAAGTGCAACTTGGCGTATTTTGAGATCAATGAATGATTTCATTTATAAAAAGATGTGAGAGTTATGTCGTCCCCATCGAGTATGAAAATCCTAAGGCTCACTTTGAAATTCAAGACGACTCATGCTAAATACAGTCAATGTCCTGTTAGTAGGAGCCATATTCATTACCTAGATATTGGTTGGAGTGTCTCACTAGATGGTTGGTTTAAGGTTAATATTGATGCATCTAACTTTGGTGGTTTAGGTAGAGCAGTTATTGGGCAAATTGTGTGTGTTTCTTGTTTAGTTTCAATAATGTTTTGTTTGGTCGTAAGATTACATGGGATCAGGAAGATTGTTCTTGATATTAACTATCTTGTCATTACCTAGATATTCTAAAAAAGAAGATAATGAATCTACCTAGACATGCACCACAATAAAAAATTTTTAAATATATTATATTTATGACTCAGAGGTTAAGACTATCCATATAAATTGGGAGGACAATTGTTGTATCGACTACCTCGTCAATTGGCATCATCATCTGCCCACGGGCATTATAAGACTTCCTCAAGCTCGAGAAGAGCTCAATTAACTCTTTTATCTAAATAGTCGAGACATTGTATAGACCAAATTAAATGTATAGCTCATTTAACTTGTTTCTTTTTCCTTTATCTAACTATATATATCTAGAACACCCTCGTGACTAACGCTACAAAATCACTTATTTAGCACTTATTATTATATAAGTATTTAAGTAGCATTTGATGTTGCCTAAAATAGTACTTAATGTTAGATAAACAAGTTATCATGAGAATGTATGAGATTATAAAATATATATATCTATATATATAACCACTATTTTTTTTGTCTCATCATCTAACTGTACATAGTTTTTATTTTCACTTATAGTTGTCTTACACATTCTCATCTTTAGTAGAATCAATAAAAACTATTTATGTTATGCATTTTGCATCTTTTGAAGTGCTTCCATATATTTAAGAAGCCAGGATTATATATTTTTCTAAATTTATTATTATTTGTCATTTTTAGGAATCAACGAGTCAACTTTTTAATCATTTATACTATATTGTCATATTACCATGGAGAAACACCATGATATGATCTATTTATGAAGTGTTCTCTTGACTAGTGCATGTGTTTCTCTTAATTATAGTGTTTGTTAATTGGTTTCTATAAAAATATGAAATAATAATATTAAACTCGTGACAAGAGGCTAATTACATAAATTAGGCTAAGTCTAAAATTGAGAAGGCTTCGTAATGTTTGATTTAATTTTATTCGGACATGACTGAGGCGAGCCCCATTAATGCTAGACCTAAATCGAAATTATTTACCAACATAATAAATGGTAATGCTTAGAACTTATTTTCAGAGAAAGTATGATATTCAAATTATTAAGATATAAGTAAAAGATAACAAACATTTTATATACGTTGAAAGTAATAAAATTGTAATATATATTATATATTAATTAAAAAAATTAAATGTGTCAATTAATCCCCTCAAATTACAAAAACCCAAATCTGAAAAATTATAAAAAATTATAAAATATGATTTTCTTGATTTTTTTTTTTTTGATTAAGAACCAAAAAAAATGGGAAACAATATATGATATCTTTACATTTTGGTCATAAGATAATTAGATTTCACTAATTATTACAGTAAATTTTAGTCAAAAAATTGTTAAAAGTAATTAAATCGAATACAATATTCAAAAAATCAGACAAAAAAAGTTTCTAAACAAAAAAGGAAACAAATCATGAGAAAATAAACAATATATTTAAAACGTGTATCCAATATTAGATAAATATATATATATATATACAGAGGGACAAATTTGGAAAGCCAAATTTTTTATGGCAATATTGTAATTTACGTCTCGAACAGACGTCCGTAATTTTTGTATATAAATGACTCTCTTTCCCTGCTGTATCTACCCCAACCCGTTTTTCCTCTAAAACCTCCATTACAGACACAGAGAGAGAGTATCTTTCTCTTCCTAATAGCTCTGATTTAGGGAGAGAAAGATTTTGAAACAGAAGTCCAAACGTCGAACGACTGCAAAGCTTTCCTTCACTCTCTCTCTGCAATCGAGCATTCTCGTAATTTCGGTCCAAAGGGGGGAAAAACGAGGGAGAAGAATGGGGGGAAAGAGGTACGCTGTCCTGTTGTGCGCGGAGGATTCCGATTATGTCAAGAAGAAATACGGAGGATATTTTGGTGTGTTCGTGAGGATGCTGGCGGAGGAAGGAGAGACTTGGTTAGTTTATCGCGTGGCTTCCGGCGAGTTCCCTGAAGAGGATGAGATCGATAGCTACGATGGATTTGTGATTACTGGAAGCTGCAATGATGCTCACGGCGATGATCCTTGGATCTGCAGGCTTATCACGCTGCTGAAGAAATTGGACTCCATGAAGAAAAAGGTTCTCGGCGTTTGTTTCGGCCATCAGGTATTTCTTGTTCTTTTCGGACTCATTTTCCTTCTTTTTCCGCCTTTGTTTGTATATATATATATATATAGATATATATCAAATTTACTGTTTAGTATCCATTACTACTTATACATGTCGCTATTTTGTGTATAGCGACGAAATCTAGTTAGTGACGAGGATGGGTTCGGTTTAACCAGAGAAAATCTGCAGTTTACAATAACATTTGAAAACTGTGTTTTAAATTAAATGAAGATTAAAATTTCAAGGAGATCAGATCATCAGAATCTGAGAACAGCAGAATATTTAAAACAAAAAAAAAATCAATTTCCAGAAAATTACTTGATAAGTTTGCTTCATGTGCTTAATCTTTTTCTTTCTTCTTCTTTCCCGAGGAGCAAGCTGTCTCAGTCCTCAAACAAATTTTATAAAATTGTTAACAGTGAAAATGATCTTATACTTCACTTTTAAAAAATTGTAAGTTCTTAACAAATCTTTTTGTTTAAGTGTTTTTCACTTCTAAAAAATATTTGTTAGAAATGAATAAAATGCTTTCTTAATTCACTTTTTTTTTTTTTGTGAGATTCAAAAGTAAAATCCCTTATAAGTCATTGACTCATAGTTTAATAATAAAAAAATAAAATAATTTTTTAACAAAGGAAAAGAACCCGAACCAAACAGACCCCAACATATAATCTTATTTCTGGCAGAACGCAGGACAGCCAGCTGTTCTCGTCCCAATTTGACTCTTTCTTCGAAATCATCCAAAGTGATAATATAATCACCTTGTAGGTCAAATTACCACTCAGGTAAAACGCCAGCGTTTAACTCTGTAACAACAAAAATTCCGGAATCACGTGTTTAAATTCTCTCATAATCCTGTTTGCGATTGGGCTGGAGTGGCTCGCTAAGTGTTCCATCGGGATGCACTTGAAGAGCTGCGTCAATCACAGGTGGAAAGTGTTTGTTAAATTGTTAAACGCTGGCAGTGAGACAGCATGGAAATGGATGCCCACCCACGCGCCTGGTCATACAAAAACGCTCCATTGCGTTTTGTAAACTTCTCCTTTTTTCTTCAGTCTATAGACGATTTGAATCTCTTTTTTGTTGACAGAAGGCTGCCTTGCAGTCGATCATGACGGGTGGGTTACCCTAGTCTACGGTCAAATCCCATATGATACATATGCCGAACACAGAAGGGAAATTAGACTCGGAATGTTTTATGGGATAGCGGAGACGTATGTCCCGGCAACAAATTTTTTGATCTTTGATAATAATATTTTGTCTAATTGTTATATAATAGTGAGTAATTATTATAGAAAGGTGACTATTTCGAAGCGCCATTTTAGCATCACAATGAGTTAACTTTTTCAATTTGGAAGCAAGTGGGACCGTCGTCCATAGTCGTTTGATCTGTCTGTCAAAGCTCCATTTTTCCCTAGAAAAAGTCTTGTTGGAATCCATGTCGGTGCTATTCCCTTGCTAATTTCCCGTTATCTGTACTTGGTTGCAGTAAAATCTGACCAGCTATCATTCTGCAATTATTTTACAACATATAAAGTCCTCAAATTAAATTAGATGGTTTCCTTACTCTGATATCGATCACGTTCCAGATTGTTTTTAAGTGGTGGGACTTGGGTCCTAGTTGGGGACCATTTGTTGAACTTGATCCTTATTAGCATAAACTCTAGGAACGGAGATGCCATATATGTGATGCAATTTCTTTCTAGCAGCCTGTATAAATGTTGTCTGTCAGTAATCGAAGTTAACTGGGGCCTGATACCCTCAAAGAAAAGACAAACTATAGGATTTTTCTTTCTTTCCTGCAGTGATGTGGCCTTGTGGCTGATTTATTCCGAATCTTGTCCGTCCGTTTGTCATGTCTATTCTTCTATAATCATTTAATGTTATGCGTGCGAAGTTGGACGAAAGAATATGATTATTAAAATATGTTGATAATGTTTCAACACAATGCTGATATGGGTATTCCACCACGTAGGAGTATATTTTGGTTTCCTCCATCTGTGTTTCTCTTTCTTTGATAGATGTATATTGAAAACAACCTAGTTTGCTTTGTTCGTATGCAGCAATATTGCTTATTTCTGATAGAACACGATAGATTTTCACGTGAACGGCACGCCCCCTCACTCATCATGTCTGGAATTTATACAAATAAACATGATAAGCATGATTTCAACCTACATGATTGAGCGCTAGATTACTCGATTATACTAATAATTTTAGTATATTGTATGTCTACAATTGAACGTTGAATAAGAGGGCACATGTAGCTGAATATGGTAAGGGTCTGCACAGCCACAATTTTAATATATTATAGCAGTAAGCAGATAACGATTGTTGGTAGGCAAGTCCCATATCATAAAACACGTGGTGCCACTTCATTTTGTTTGTTCTCTTTTAAAAGTACTTTTTTATTTCTGCATGTTGCGAAAGTGTGTGTCCTGCATTTATATGGTCAGAACCCTTTGGTGCGAATTGATGATGGTATCATAAACATTCATATACTCATGCATTTGTACATGAGTAATTGTGGATAGGATAGGTAAATTATTTGATCAGCGATATAACTATGTTCTAAGTGCAGAGATAAAAAGTCTCGTCTCCCATAAAATCACGGGGCAGGGCTTAAGCTGGTGCTTCTGGCGCTAGCGAGACGAGTCACATGCATGCATCATACATATAGACTCAGTTGTTTGTCCTTAAAGTAATATGTCCCAAATAAACGATTGTCTTTTTCATATTTGTCTTATAGCTAGTGTTTTTTAGTGAATAGTCTTTTTCTTTGTATCAGTACTCATTACTTCTTTTATATATATATGTATATATTTTTTACTTTTTTGGAGAAAATCTTTTATGTTTTTTGTTTTTGGTTATTTGTGTTTCCTTGGTAAAGATATGATCCATACGCCATTTGAACTTATTCTTACTTGGACAGAAGAAATCAGTTGGGTTGTGTGTATTAATATACAGCTCAGAAATTGCTTTAAAAGTCGAAATGATGAAAATGGGTTGTAAATAAACCAGGTGATGGCGCGTTCTTTGGGAGGAAAGACAGGCAGGGCTGAGTCGGGTTGGGACATTGGAGTGACACCCATCCATTTATCAGCACCAGCAGTGAAGTTATTTTCGTCTCTTCAAATACCAAGTGTACTCTCTCTCATCGAGTGCCACCGAGACGAGGTTTGTCAATTACTCCATACAATTAGCTTGGTAATGCTTACATCTATATTAAAGAACTGGCAACAATAAGTTTGCAATTTCCTGCAATTAGCAATTTGCGTTGGGTTTAGTACAATTTAGTTCTCTTCTCGTTTAATTAACGAAACTCGACTTATCCTAGGTGTTGGAAGTGCCTGCTAAAGTTGAGGTGCTGGCATGGTCAGATAAGACTGGTATTGAGATGATTAGGTATGGTGACCACATGATGGGCGTGCAGGGTCATCCGGAGTACAGCAAAGACATTCTTCTAAACCTGATTGATCGTCTTCTGCAGCGCAAAGACATTGTGGTATGTATATATATATATATATATATATATATATATGTATGGTTGTTAGAATCTTCGGATCATCTTACTTGTTTCATTTCTTTGACTCAGACAATTCTCTTCTTTGTATTTATAGGAATCTTATGCAGAGGAAGTGAAGGCAAATGTAGAGAAGCTTGAGCCAGATAGGGAGGCATTGAAGAAACTTTGCATCAGCTTTTTGAAAGGTAGACTATGAAGGAAAATAATTAAAAACTTCCTATAAGTTAGAACTGAGCAGGAGTGAAGATTGTAAATAGGAACACTTTTTTTTTTTGGTCTAGCAACTTGAATTATCAAATGTGCTAGCACCAATTTCAACAAAAAAAAAAGGTGCTAATTTGTTCTGGTAGGCAGTATTAGATATTGGTATGTTTTCTATTCGGGTAAGGGAGTCTTTTTATGAACAATATTTTTGTACTACTTTTATTTGGATATATCTATCAAAGGAATTTTGGAAGCTCCACTCTTATGATAATTAAATAGCAGTTTCGCCATTGGCAAGATCAATTTTCCCATTTCATGTGTGAAGTCAAGAAGTATATCTAATATTATTTATTCATGACTGAATTAACAAGGCAACCTGACTTATATATATATATATATATATACATACAGAAGTATATATTTGAGTGGTGTGTTACCTACCTATATATATAGGTACAAATTGCTATGATGACTAGTTATAGAATTCATGTAAAATATTTACTCATGCTGATAATACTAACTCTCCAACTCCGTAATAGTTGTTTGTTAATTCATAGTCTCTTGTTCTTCACCATATAACTTTTTCACCTACCAAGTATCTTGTAGCTTTTCAAGTCTAAGAGATCCAAAAGTACGTCAAGTAATCCAGACATTCTTGTCATCTCCAAATCTGTTTAAAACACCAAAAGGAAAGGTACATATGCAGGTAATACTCTTGTGTCTTATAGCTTTAGGCTTTTCAAGTCTTAAGGTGAGATTTCCCACCACCTGTCGTGTGCGAATGACCTCCTAAATTGCTTCGATTTCCAGCTAATTTATTTACATAAGTATATACCATATATTTATATTACAACATAATATATATCATAGATATGTATATATGACCAAATTAAAATTTTCCAATCCCACCTAGACCAGATCAAAAATAGCAAATAGTCAACATGTTATTCTACTCAGTTTTCAGTAGAATCCCAAGTGATGAACACCTACATTAAATAAATTTAAAAACTCCAATAATCTCCAAAAAGATAAGGAAAACAAAAAAAAAAAAAAGAAACCCACACCAACTTTCAGACTGGTCATCCCTAGTTTCTAATATTACCAAAGAGAAAAAATCAAAGTAGTTAAAAATTAGTTAGAACTAGAAATAAACAATCTCAAACAGATCTACATAAGCACTACCACCATCAAAATAAAGAAAGCCAGATCATGTAAAAGCCATTTGATTTGGGTTCAAGACGCTATTGACAAAACATTCAAGTCTCAGTTTAAAATCAATGGAAACCAGACTTCATAATCCATGTAGCACCAGTTTCTGATTCAAATTATTGATCAATCTTTAACTAATACACAGAATTCGGCTCAATTATAATCAACCAATAAACCAAAGGCAACATATCAAAGCTGATTTTTCCAATTGAATGTCAAAGACTAAGATAGGACTTAAGCACCCAACATAGAGCTTGAATTCTTCCTGCACTCCGTCAACATGTCCATGTAGAACTGACACTTGCTGAGGTCATTTCCATAGTTGTTCAGGCACTGGATGAAATAAGAAGAACAAATATCGGAAGTTAGATATCATACATAACAGTACTCAAAATAGCAAAGAATGAATAAGAATCGTTGCACCACAAAGAATGGATAAGGTATAGGTTTTCTACACAGTAACTAACCTATGTAAACAAGAGACACATTAATCTCAGGCTAATTGACAGATGCTAGTGGATGCCATTAGGTGCTTCACTACCATTAACTCAAAAATCTGTTTTATATAACAATCTACAAATCACAAACTCCAAACTTGTGGTCTTTCTAATTTTTCTTTCTTTAGAAAGAATGATCCAGAAGCCAGAAATTTTCTGAATACATTTGATATTAAGTAAAAGAAACCCAACCAAATTTCTAGCACATTTCTGGTTTCTTGTTTTGCTCTTCAGTTAAGCGAAAAAAGAGAATTAAGGTCGGTGAATATTTTAATCATTACTGTTTGCCTACCAAAGACTAAATTAAAAAATAAATGGAGGATCAAGTGGGGAGGAGGGGAGTGGGGCCATTACATCTTGGAAGGCCTTTGTGTGAACACCACAGGCATCAGACCCGAAATTATTTGCAGAAGGGGCTGCAGCAGCAGCCTCAGAGACAACACTTTCATGTTGAATGGTACGAGGACCCATAACAGCATCAACAGCTCTATGTGCTATGGCACTTCCGGTACCAAATGCCATACCTGTAACAAAAGAGAACCAATTTGAGCCATATGCTAATATTCAGTAGACTATAGGCAACCCATTCATAGGAAAATATGGAAGCTCCTATCTTGACAATAGTATATTTTTCCTACATACCCTGAGCTATGGTTGAACCAATGCCACCCAGCATTGATCCACCACCACCTTGAGCAGGAGCTGGAGGAGGAGCATGGTGAACTGCACCAAAACAACACTATTAGATAAATATCATGATTGTCTGAAGTCAAACTTTAGTATATTCACACTTCTTGATGTATGAACTAAAAAGCATCCATGCCATGATACATACATACCCATCTAGCTACTATAGACCTAGTACCTATCTAATATGCATATACAGTCAACATACATATGCATACTCCCAAAGTATAGAGTTCAAACATCATCACCTGGTTGAGGAGGGGGCCTACGTGGAGCAGGACGAGCTGCTGGGCGTGGGGCAGGTCTTCCTGCAATTTAAAATAGAGCAACATTAAAGCCCATGGCTTTCCCTAATAAACAAAATCCAAATAGGTCCATTCTTATTTAACATAATGGAATAGCTTAATCTAGTCAGACTTCTTTTAAGACAGACTTGTTGATCCAGGAAAGATATAAAAGAAGCAGGAACAACCCAGCTAAGCATTTTCAAATGATACACAACGCTTTCGCCAACATATAGTAATTTCACAAGCTTAAAAAAAATCCTTCAGCATATTCGCCAAAACATCAGACCCCAAAAACACAACTAAATCCCTATCCGTGGACAAACATGAAACACCTAAAAATTTCATACAAATAGAGTTGACTAATTACTATTTTTCCTAATCCAAACGCATCAAACGACTTCAAATCTAGATTATTTAAGCCAACCCTTTCAGGTGATGCAAACATGCAACTCCTATGAAAATCCCAAAACCCTAGCCACCAAATGAACAAGAGTAATAAATCGACCGTGTAAACGTATTCTACATGTATAGATCCCAAGGAAGAAAATGGAATATCTGAAGGAAAACAAACCTCCAGAGCTCCGGCGAGGCATCTTCAGAGACTAGGCGGCGAACAGATGAGAGTTTGTTTGACGGAGAAGGAGAGTTTCTACAGTTAAACGCGTCGAGTAGAATAGTCCAGAAACCCTCAAAGCGTTCGTATCTTATAGGACGGACTCTGAATTCACACGTGTCGAAAAAGTAGTGGACTGATAAAGTTGACTTCGTATCATCCAGATCTAGTGTAAACTCAAACTTCGTAGTCTTGAGAATACCAGATCCTTACCCCTATTTTTATGGAGATCTGTATTTTATTTTCGTCAAACAAAAAAAAATTCTAGAGAAAATAAAGTAATATTCGCCATTTTCCTGGAAACGGTCCCGAAATGGCAGTTCAGCGTGTATTTCAAAAAATAAAGCATTAAACAATTCTAGCCTACCACTGGGTCTTTGTTCCTCTATATATTATATTAAATTAATATTTTGGGAGTTAAAACTATTTGCCACTTGCAATTAATTTTTTTTAATTTATAAAATTACTTTAATCTATAATTTTTATAAATATATAATAAATGTTTACAAAACATGGTAATATTTAGTGAAAATTTATTTTAATTATTTTTTTAAAGAGGTAGTGGAAGAAAAATAATAAGGAAAAGAAAAAAATAATATTTAGTGATTCATTTTATTTTTATTATTTAGGGTTAATTTAAAACATTAAATTAAAAAATATTACAAATGAGCATGTTATATCGGCACTAAGTATAAAAAATGACCAAGTCAATAAAAATAAACACGTGTGAGATGTTTCTTTCTCAAAATTGATTCAAATATAATTTATAATTTCTAAACTTAATTGAATATAAATTTTGTATAGAGATTAATATTATAACACTCCGTTTATTATTGTGCTAAAATGATAACTCTATTTATTCAGGGATTTAGTCGCATTAAACTTAATTAATTTAGACTGCTTAATATTTATTATAATTCGTAATTTTAGTTGATTTTTATTTATTTAATTTTATTTTATTTTATTTTAAGTCTAATTCATTTAAATTAAATATAAAAATTAAAAAACGACGAATTTGGAAGAAAATTCTACAAGAAAAATCCTACAGGGAGTCAGGTTGCCTGTGCAAGTGCTGGTCAATGTGCGCGCGCGCATGCCCGTATAGTAGTCGCGGGACGTACGTCCAACGCGTAGTCCTGTTCGCATGCATGGGACGCGCGCACAACGTGCACGTCCCCTCCACCTGCCTGCACATAAGGGACGTGCGCCCAGCGCACATGATGCGGGGTCAAGACCTACGCGCATCCTATCGCACACAGACGGGTCGTGCACGCGTCACCTCGCGCACAGACAGGCGTCGCACACTGTGCGCATGCCGTTTGCATAGCATGCATTCGCTGATAGACCCTATGTGCCTAGGGCTTGCGTGCACAACGCCCAGCGCGCCTAAGCCTTGCACGCACAACAAGAGGCTTGTGCGCCTGTAGGCTAGCCTGTATTGTGCCATTGCTGCCTTGGGCAGCGCGCTGCCGCTGCCCGTGGAGGAGGTCCTCCTCTTTTGTTTTTCGTGCTGAGTTTCTTTTTCTTTTCTCTCTTCACCGGATTTCACCACTCAGTGCGAATCAAACGGTTCCACAACGCTATAAATTGTCTTCCCCCTTCCCTTCCTCTCCATACTTTCATTCTTTTATTTTTCAAAGATTTAGAGAGAGAGAAAGAGATAGTAGTCTACTAAGAGAAGAAGAAAAAGAAAGGAGAACGCCGAAGGAGAAAACATCAAAATTTCGATAAGAAATCTAGTATTTCTTTTGACTTCTTAATGAGTATTTTTAGATAAACTAAATTAATATAATTGTTATTTTACCTGTTTTGTATGTCTATGTGTTCATATGAGTCGACTTGTTCTTATTTTCAAGTATATTATGTGAATTGCAGATACTTGATAAATTTGTATATAATAAATATAATATGTAGTCGGTAATAGTAAAAAATATAAAAGAAAAGAAAAAGAAAAAAGTGGAATGAAGCATGTATGGTTCGAACTGTATCTATATTGATATGCATATTGCTTCAAGTGTCTCGTTAGACTTTTTATCTTTGATGAGTATCTGTTCCCCTTACCCTTCGGGGTATTTGCCTCCTCCTCCCCTATTTGGTCTAAAAAAATATAAGAGTATCACTCTCAATGGATAACGGCGTACCATGTGACGATAGTGGTGTCACACTATCTATAGGGGTCACCCGTGGCTAAGTAATGTCGTGACTGTAGATATCTGTTAAGGCCACTACTATAGTACGACCATGGTCATATATCGTACCATGATTTGGCTAGCCGAAAATGAGCCTAAATAAATTATTGTATCTGTATCTGATCTGCTTATTTTACTTAGATAATTAAAAATCTGTGTCCGCCATCAGAGATAGAAGTTGTAACGATTTCGCGAAGAATAATACAAAAATCTGAACATTTCATTATTTATTTGATTTTCTCTATTATCTGACATGATGTATATTTGATTGTTTATATTAACGTATTGTTTTCTTAATAAATAAATAATTTTCTAAAATTTGAGATAGATAAACGAGAAAGTTAAATGGTAAGATAAAATAATTAACTTTTAAAATCTTATAATATTAATTTAATAATATTTTCCTTACTAAGTATATAAAACTCATTCTTTCCATGCCCCCCCTCCCCCAAGTAAGGAAAAAAGTGAGGAGCCGCAGGTTGACCTACCTTTGACAGTCTTTGAGGATCCTGTGGATCCACAAGTCTGAGTGCATGACTGTTCCCGCACTCTGATAAATCCAATAACATAATGAAATAAGTGACCCTTATGTTTTTTTTGCAACCACTTCTTGCATCAGTATATGTATGTATTAGAACTCATATGTATTTATAAGGAATTTGTAATGATTTTGTTCTACTACATAAATTTTATCATGCACTCGTTATTCTGAATCTGTATATGATACACATTTGTCTTAGTTAACACTTGGGATATCACAGATGGTATCAGAGCAGAATTTTGTGGATTAAATCTCTTGCATTGAGGCTTTAGGTAGATGAACCTTTTAGAATACCTACGAAAGAAATAACTCCTCTTTTCGAAGATTAAACCTCCAACTCGTGTCTTCCTTTATTTTGTAGGAATGATGCGAGGAACACCATCTGTAGAGCGTACTAAGCGACCTGAAACTCTGATCATCGGACCAGGGCTGAATTTGTAAAAAAATTTTGAGCCATCCAAAGATTTACTGCAGCCATAGGATATAACCAGGCCAATCCTTGTCCACCCCTATCCCTGAATTCTGAAATACAGATCGATTTATCTCCCACAATATAGCAGAGTTTAGGAAACTTAACATTCATACTTTGAAGGTGGTATTGATCCTTTAGTAGCCGAAGTCTGGATCCTACAAATAGAGAAGATATTATCTGTCTTAGATCTGATCGAAGAATAAAAAGTCCATTTTGTTGCTTTCATGTTAAACGGTAAAGCTAAATACTGGTGGCGACTTATGAAAGAAATCACATCTACCCTTACTACCTGGGAAGTTTTCAAGGATGCTTTCTTTGATAACATTTTTCTTGCCTATGTTCTAGAAAAGAAAGATGAAGAATTTTAGGACCTCCGCCAAGAAAGTTTATCTGTAGCCCAATATGCAACTTGTTTTGTTCAACTGTTTAGGTTTGCCCATTTGATGGTCACCATTGAAAGCTAAAAAGCTAGAAAACTTCTCAAGGGCTTTTGTACCGAAATTTATGACCGGGTCGTAATGCTATGACCCAGATCGTATGCAAAGGTGCTCGAACATACCCAGTTGGTCGAAGATCTTATCTCGGCCAAACACCAATATATTGTTTGAGTCCGTACCCAATAACAACTCTAACAGCTTAGAAGAAGATTGTTTGACCCAATAAGTAACCCTCTAGAGAAATGAACCAGAGTTGCTCTTCTTCCAACCTTGCCCCCACCTACAGCTCCACCTGTCCAAGCTAACCAACCTTGTCAGCATTGTGGCTGCTCGTATGATGACCTGCCTTGTCGGCGTATCAATAATGTATGTTATTAGTGCAGAAGCACCCAACACCTTATTAAGGACTGCACTCAGCAACCAAATGATGTAGCTCGATCTGTAGCATAAGGTCGAGTATAGCACTTAGATAAATCTGAACCCCTTCTTGCTCTTGTTCTCATCTAGGATAGGACAATCTCCCAATAATCTCCCAAACCTCGTCCAGTATAGGACTTCCTAGCCTCGTATGACTGAGGATCGTATTCATGATAGGGATCAACCTATTTATTCCCCTTTATGACATCCGATGATAGCTTTATTTACCTCATTACCAAAATTTATTTCTATTTATAAACTTGTCCTGTAGTTTGCATATTCCTAAGATAAGCCTATATCACCTTTTATTCTTTAATATTTGCAACACATGAATGAACACAAATATTAGTGCCAGAATACGTAGCCTGTAAAATAAAGTATCTTAAAAATACAACATGACGAGATAAGGTAAACTAATTTAGATTCAAATAAGGCAAAATAAAGTGGAACAAAATAAAGTGAGGTTGATTCGGGTGAAATACAATATATGGAATATCATAGTAAAATAATGTTATGTGAAATAAAATAAAACAAACAAATGAAGATAAGATAAGTATATACATAAAATACGTGTAAATTAAATTAAGAAAATGGCAAGATAAATCAAAATAACAATAATAATTTTATTAGCTCCATCGTCAACTTTATAGATTAAATTTAGCGACACGATTAGATTTTTGTTTCTGCTAAGTGTGTTTATACATATATCTACCTACATGCATATCACCTTATTTTGTTTCTATCTCTACCATGCTTCCATTATCATTATTATTACATTTATTATTATTATATATATATTTATTATATTAATTTTAATTTTATTTATTTATTTTACTATTATTATTATTTATTTATTTTCCTTGTTGACCTTCGGTCAACCGTTACAGAGAGAAGGGTTCCAACATCCTTACCCCAAATCGGCCGCTAGCGGCGTGGGTCCTCGAAACCACTGGCCGTGGTGATTCCCACCTTCGGCTTTCACCTATCTCCTCTCTTTCTCTCTCCTTTCATTGCTAAATGGAAAAAACAACGTGTTATTAGTGTTTACAGGAGGGAAAGGACCAAAGGAAGGTGGACGACTTATCGAAATCAGGTCCAACTTTCAGTCACGGTGCGCATCTCTCTTCCTCGGCTTATGGTGCTCTTTGATGGATCTATGGTGAAACTTACAAAAAAAAAAAGATCGGAAATGAAGAAAAATGAAGAAAATCATGCTTACCAGTGTTAGTTTGACTTTCAGCACAGTGGCACCGTCACTCTTCGGCATCCGAGCTCCTTCCAACGTCCCGTGTTCATCTTCTTTTTCGGTCAACCTAGCGGCTAGGGTTTGGAGATCGGCCGAAATGAGGTTTAAATACCTTTCATCTTTTAATCTAGGTCATTCGTGTGGGTCTATGTGGCGCGACGATAACTGTCCAATTGCGTTCATTTAGGAAACTAATATGAACCATCCGATTGGAGACACACGAACCGTTTGATCAAGCCTATTCGAGAAACTAATCTAGGTCGTTCACGCGTGTGGGAGTGGCCCTGAGCCGTTTGATCAACCGGACATGTAGATTGTCTGCATAGCTTCTCGTGTGGAGCTTGTGTCGATGTGTCTACCATGCGACGTGCGGCGACTCGTCGTGCTGTTGACTGGGCATCCACATGATCTGTTTCTTCCTTTTTGCAAGTTAACCCCTCCTTTTTTAATTTTTTTTAAAATGGATTCTCTTTTATTTTCAGTTTGACCCCTTTTTTTGAAATTATTTTCAAAGGTATCTAAGATTCATATATTTCAAAGAAAAAACAATAAAAATTAAATTTACACATTTTTATTATTAGAAAATATTAAATCTCATCATTCCAAGCCTAGTTTTCGGGCTCGAAGTGTTACATATACAAGAAATGATATTGTGAGATGGCTAACATAAAGTCATGTTACATGTGAATTCAAGCTATATTTCAAAGAATTAAAAATAAAAATATATAAATTACTATAGCCATAAAATTTTAGAGCTGTGTTTGTAAAACATTAAGATTTTTATTGACAAAAATGTCTTTATATATTCTTCCTATGACGTGGTCATTTGTTAATTAGTTTTGAGATTATTTTTAATCATTTATTATATTGATATGATATTATTTAGGCCTTGTAAAGGATTTTTTTTGTGAAATTACTTTGTGCTGCAGCTTGTTTCCCAAGGCCCATATCTTGAAAAATCTAGTATGGATTCATATCAGATTCAAAAATCTAGAAATGTTTATTGCTCAAGTACTCATTTTTGAATCAATCGATATTATGTTTGCCTATTTATAGTGATTGTTACTCTTGTTTTCTTTCAACTCTCTCCTTTTTATTATTGACTTGTTCATTTTACAATTTCGTGTATGTGTTGTCATGTGTACAACAGTGCTTTGCTAGTCATATCTTCTAATCCAAGGTTAGTTCCCTATTCTCAAACTCTTTTAAAATATCTCATGTTTTTTTTGTTATGGTTTGCTTTTGATTATGATTTGCATCAAAACTTTTGAATACTATTTGTTTATATTTTATTGTTATCTTATTTTTTAATAAAAATTTATACATTTTAATAATTAAGTGTCATACGTATACCAACGATAATACAACTCTTATACTCTTAATACAATCTCTCAACTATAACACACAGAATTCAAAACCCACAAATCAAACCCACACTATTATAGAAAAATGATAGAAGTATCCATCAATCAAGGAATGACTGGTTAATGTTCTATTTTTACTAATTACCTTGTTGTTCTACTAATAAAGAGTACATATTATTGAATGTTTTCTTCTAAGTACTATTTCATTTCATTTTTAATTATAGACTAAATAAAACACTAAAATAATCCTTCATTAGTCCTCATATTTCAAATTTTAATTATCCAACGAAGAAAATATGTTTTTTTTTACAGTTAATATTTTCATTTCATATTTATTCTTTTGCTGATATTTACCTAAACATTGGATAAGCTTCCACATGACCACCTTTGTTTTTCTATCATTGTTTTTGTTCTTTTTTTTACGGCATGTGATTTTATGCATCCATTATAGTGACCCTACTAATTTCATTTAAATACGAAGTAAATAAACCCTAGCTCGATCTACTTATACTCTCTCTACCCTTTGTTATGACAAAATTAGGAATGCCGCAACTTTTATTCAAAGATGAGCATCCTCCAGATCTCGAGCACATACATTTTAGCTTCCTCATCTAATATGGACTACAAGAGCTCTAATGTTTTTTAAGCTTTAACATGCTTTTGTATACTAGATACAATGTAACCAGACACTCGTATAATTAACATAGGATTAAATTTATGTGCTTATTAAATAATTAATTTATTAAATTAATCCATATTTATCACAAAAGATTACTCTATTGTTAAATATAGGATATCTATTACAAGAGTTGTGTCGAGTAATTATTGGAATTAGGGTGACCATCATTATTTTCTGAATGTTGCAACATATCCTGATACAACTAATATGTGGGTATTTGCCACCATACAACTCTATTTTCTCCAGATAGTTTAGATAATTAATTATATTCATGTACAATATTATTTATTTAAGAACTATAGTTATATTTAGTTATGTCTTTAAATATTTTAAATTTTAAAAGATGATCATAAGTATCTATTCATGTTACCTTTCAAAAAAGAATTCTCAATCATTAAGAGTAATAAAATGGTACTTCATCAAATTACATCATTACAAAGAGAAAGGAGAGTTGTTAAGATTGTTTTGCTCTAAAGTCGATTTTATGATCCTGACTTCATGTGATATGCCAGAAAGAAAATAATATAAACAAAAATTAGAGATCATAAACCATATAGTGAAAAAAAAATTGAGTGAAAAACTTCAGCAACGTGACGTATAACATAATTACATTTAATGTCAATAGTTATTACCAGCAACGTATAGTGTATAACGACACATATGACCCTTTTAAGTGGTCTTCCTTTTAGCTTTGTGAATATTGTTTGGTTTAAAATTTTATAGAAGTGTTTTTTTGTTAAAAAATTGTAAAATATTTTCCATCTCATTAGAAAATAATTTTAAATTCATAAAACTAATTTTTTATTTTTATAAATTCCATAAAAATGACTAACATTCATAATTATCATTCCTTATTTAGAGTTAAAAACCGAATAAGAATATATATTATATGAAGAATAAATTTTTTTTTGCTTTATTAAATGTATAACATATGATAATCTTATATTTTTATTCAAAAGTTTTATGAATTGAGTTTAGCTCTTTGTTTTCTTTTGTTAGTTATGTAACTTTTTGATTATTGATGAATTACTAAAGTTATTCTCTTTTTTTTTTTTGTGAGTGTAGTCCATTTGAAGCTTAATGGCACGTATTAAGAGAATAAAATACACCCTTATGGGAGTTAGTGCAAGGCAAATGAAAGAAGTTGCAAAACAAAAAATCAAAGACTTGGAAGCATACTCCATGACCCAAAATTATGATATCATAGCACACATTAAAGAAGTGGACAATAGGTTGAAGGAAATCTATTATCTTGGCTATTATCTCACAAATAGTATGAAGATTTACCTCTTGCTCAAGACCTTGCCTAAGCCGTGGAATCAAGCCGTCACTGAAATTCTTCAAAATCACCCTTTTGCCTTTTATAAAACTGTAATAAGGCTCCTTAGGATAACATGGTGCAGGGAAGTAATGAGAAATGCAGGACGCACAAATATTTTATCGATGAACACTAGTCTTAAAAGAACTCAGTTCTTAAAGGGCAAGACCGCACAAGGTTACCCATGGCTTAATCAAGTTGTAAGACGTGTTGTTAACAACGTTATTTGAAGAAACTCCTAGTTTCTAGTAGCTTAAAGGGTGAAGACATAATACAGATTATGGAAACCTTTTCATTTGTATTTATCTTATTTTACTTTGTATTTAATTATGAAGAAATGTTTGCAAGTATATTTTTATTTATGTATGAATAAATCTTTTATGGATATAATTATATTTATCGAATGCATGTGTTCAAAACTTATTAGAGTTACGATTTACATGTAATTTCTAGATTAATACATTGACACGACGATGATAATGTTGTACACAAACAATAAACTCTATTTAAATCGTAAGTTACAAATTCAAACAAAATCACCCATTTATATCCAAATTCTCTCATTGAGTTGCAAATTTTCATACTCAAAATTCAAAAATTTATGATACAACCCAAAGTTCAACAATAATTTGAAGCTTTGTTTCATAAATTCAAAACAACTACTGCGATACATCTTGCAAACAAAATTCTTCAAACCTTTAAATCTTCCATCCATAGCGAAGATTTTCATTACCTTCATTCACTTTTTAAGAGTAAATTTCAATATTATCTTTTGTAGTTTGAGGGTTTTCAATTGAAGACTTTGTAGTTCATTTTTTCCCCCCCAAATTATACACAAATTAATTTGATTTATTAATATTCATATATATAATAAATATATACATATTAATAATATATATAATAAATATATAAATACTAGTGAATTAACACACCTTCGATAATTCGACGGAACGGCCCTCATCCCTCGACTAGTCATAAGACAATCTCCCCCGTCGTTGTCGAACTATTGTCACTTCAACCTCCCTCTTGGCTGCACTGTTGCAGCTCGTAGCTCGGCGGAGGAACTAAGATGACGCTAGAAATCGAAGCTCGAGAGTAAGTTTTCTTCATCAGAATGCTTTGATTTTCTTTCAGTAATTGTGCAAAAAGTTTCTACTGCCATCGCCTTTTATTCCTTACAGCTACCATTTTCATCTTCTACCCTGAAAATCTATTACTTGCTTTCGCCAAGCCTATTGTCAACACTCTTGGCTATAGGCGATTGCAGCTGCTTCTTTGCTTTTATACATTTGAGAGGAAACTCGTGTTTATCATAATTTTGCAGCTTTTTTTTTTTTTTGTCGATTCCTTTTGTGTTCTCGGGAATTTAGTTGGTTTGGTTTTCTTTTTTCCGTTGTTATTGTTATCCTTTCAGTTTAAGCTAGTGATAGGGAAAGTCTCTTCAGGTGCTAACTGATTTTGTATTTCTTAATAAATATATTGTTATAGTGGTCATTATATTCATCAAAGTTAGGGTTTTCCATCCGCAGTGATGTTTATTAAACATTTGAATTGTGCGGTTCCCTTAAGGCGGTGTCAGTTGAAGGTTGATGGAATAGCAGTTTTGGTATTTAGCATTTAGCTTTTCTTAACTCCTATATACTGTATAGGTGGGCTATGTGGTTCTCACATGAATAAGCTTGAGGAATGCTATCTATGCAAAATGTTACCATAAAAAATTTATTGTTAATGTTTTGTCTGAAGAGCAGACAGGGATTTCATTGTTCATCAATAAGAATCACATTTTATATGTGTGGTTGGTCAAATTTTAAGAGAGAGGATGGTCCACCAGAATGGCATCAAGATCTTATAATAAAAGTGTGTGAAAAAAGATAGGAGCAGTACAGGAGAAGTTCCAAACATGCATTAGATGCAATATTGGTAAGGGATAGAGTCAGATTTTGGGAAGATCAATGGATGGAAGGAGGCACCCTCAGGGATCAATATCCTCAAATTTTTGCTATAACTCGACAGAAAGGTGTAAACATGTGCAACTTTTACATGAAAGTTGGGGAGGGGGG